GCCTACGCCGTCGCCGGCGACGCACAGCAGCCCAGCTCCAGGTCTAGCTGTTGTTCACCATTTTAGCTGTAGAGGGCAGAGTCACTGGCCCATGTGGGATCCGAACCGGAAGCCCTGCTGCTCAGAGCTCGTGCTCCCAAGCCAACTCTTAACCAACTAACCACTCAGCCAGGCCAGTAGAATCTTTTATAAATATGAATGAATACAGTTAGATTCATTCATCCCAATCTAAACGAAGGTAAGACTCCCTCGTTTCCATGGCCAGCTCCTTTTATTCACAGGATTACACTTTCTCTTTCTCATATTTAGGTACCACTTCTTTAAAAATCTGGACTGAGGGCCAGCAGAGTGGCTTCATTGATTAAGAGCTTGCTCAAGAGTGCGAGCTCTGCGCAACAGGGTCGCTGGTTAAATTTCCACAAGGGCCAGTGAGCTGTACCCAAGCTGAGCTGCCAACAGGTGGCAGGATGGCTCAGCTGGTGAGAGCACGTGCTTCTAACAACAAGGTTGCCTGTTCAAGATGGTGTGCTATACCCACCAGCAACTAAAGACTAAATTTGGCACCTTGAGCTGAGCTGCTCCCTGGATGGCTCAGTGGATAGAGCACGCACTCTTAACAATGAGGCTGCTGGTTCGACTCCCACATGGGATGGTGGCTATGCCCACCCACAACTATTTGAACATAGCACCTTGAGCTGAGCAGCATGACTGGACTTGGAGCTGAGCTTGCTGCACCCTCCACAACTAAGATTAAAGGACAACAACTTGGCTGTTCCCCTCCCCCAATTTCCCAATTTAAAAAAAAAGAAAAAGAAAAAGAAACAAAAAAAACCTTGACTGAGAAAAACTTCCACTGATGTTTTACTAACTCCTGAAACACTAAGTGTATTGAAAGCTACCGTTGGCACAAATGCCTACTTGAAACCTCCTTTGTACTATTGCTATGTGAAGTCTTGAAGTATAAAGTGTGTCAAGGTCCCTCTTGCTAATACTCGCTCTCTCTCTTCGAGGCTGTTTCTCATCAGCTCACTCTTTTTTTTTGTTGTTGTTGTTTTTGTTTTTAAGATTTTATTGGGGAATTGGGGGAGGGGAACAGACAAGTTGCTGACCTTTTGTTCTTCAGTCTAGTTGTGGAGGGTGTCTCTTCACTGGCCCATTTGGTATTATCATTGCGCTCTTCCCAGGTGAGGCAGTCACTCACCAGGCACTGGATGGCCAATCACGGCGGCTCACGGCAGCTCACGAAAGCTCACACCTGCTGCCGGCCAGCCCCACTGCAGCCTACGCCATTGCGAGTGACTCACAGGAGCCCAGCTCCAGGTCGAGCTGTTGTTCACCATCCTAGCTGTAGAGGGCACAGCATCACTGGCCCTCATGTGGGATCCGAACTGGGGCTGCTGCTCAGAGCTGGTGTCCAAGCCAACTGTTAACCAATGCACCACTCGGCCAGACTCATCAGCCCACTCTTAAATGATAGGTTTCCCAAAGCACCAGCATTGAGGCACATGCCCCCAGGTGGTTTTAGCCACAGCACTGATGCACCCATTTGTTTTTCCCTAGCGCCATACTCTTTTCCCAACATCGCTCATGCTGTCACCTATCTGTTGCACATGTGGATAGCACACAGACACCTCAAATACCACAAATTCAAAACCAGACTCATATTTTCACACCTCCACTGGCATGTCTACGCTAACTCCTTTCTTCCTGAATCACATCACAATTCACACAATTAACAGAACTGTTATTGATCCATTGTCCCAAGCTTGAAACATTGAGCTTTTCCTGAGCATTCTACCAATAATAAATGGATCCCTGAAACACATAGAGTCCACCAAAGAATATACTTCTGATCAGACCTCTCTTTTCCATCCACATTTCCACTTTTAGGAACATAATTTCTCTCATTTTTTTCCACTTTTTTTGTGTTTTTGATAAGATTTGAGCATGGATGTGTAGTCTATCTACATATTCAATTCATTATCTTGACCCATTCCTCCCAATTTTATCTAAAGAATGAGTCCTTTCATTTATTCAGACTCTTTCAAGACAATATCTTTAAGAATTTTCTTCCCTCTTTTTTCTCTCTTTCCTTTCTGGAACTCCTATTAGTCAGATTTTGAGCCTTCTGGGTTGATGATGCTCAGTACTGTCAACGTTTTAGATCATCTAGTGGGAGCAAAATCTGTGGTAACCTTTCTGAAAGCAATTTCACAGGGAGTATCAAAAATCTTAGAAACAAATATGTATTTTGAGGGCCACCAAGTGGCACGTTGGTTAAGAGCTCGCTTGGGATGCCAGCTCTGAGCAGCAGGGCCCGGTTCAGATCCCACATGAGGGCCAGTGACACTGCCCTTTACAGCTAAGATGGTGAATAGCAGCTCAGCCTGGAGCTGGGCTGTCATGAGTTGCCAGCAACGGCGTAGGCTGCAGCCCCTGCTGCAGTGGGCTGCCTTAAAGCTACCATGTGTGGCCGGCAGACAGTGTGAGCAGCCGGCAGCCAGTGGGAGCTACCAAGAAGCGCTGTGAGCGGCTTTCCAGAGGCCAGCGACCGATCTGCCTCACCTTGGAAAAGCGCAATGATAATACCAACATGGGCCAGTGAAGCGACGTCCTCCACAACTAGACTGAAGAACAAAAGGGCAGCAATTTGTGTTCCCCTTCCCCCAATTCCCCAGCGCTGTTCCCCTCCCCCAATTCCCCAATAAAATCTTTAAAAGAAAAAGAATGAGTCCTGCAGCAGTGTGAGCAGTGCTATGCAATAGAAATAAGGGCACATATGCAAGTTTACATTTTCTAGTAGCCACATTATGAAAGAAAAAGAAATAAGTGAAGTTAATTTTAAGACTATACTCTATGTAATCCAATACATCTAAAATATTAACATTTCAAAGTAATTAATATTAAAAATTTTAATAGATATTTTAGATTCCTTTTTCTTTGTGCAAAGTCTTCAAAATCAGGTGCTCAATGGCCACATGTGACTAGTGGTGGCTGTCATATTAGATAATATAGGTATAGAGGGTTAACTGGTGTGGGGGTAACACTCATATGAAAGGATATATTCACAGCTTCAGTAAGAGAGGCCATATATTAAGGTACTGGCAATGAAAACAAAGAACCAGTTTACAGTTATATGGAAAAATATTAAAGGACCAATCAGTAGGGAACTTATAAAGCAGATAGAATCAAATTGAGGATAAAACCACAGCCCAAATTGGGGAGATGTTGATCAAAGATAGAAACTTGCAACTAGAAGACAACTAAGTCCTGGAAATCTAACACACAGCATAGTGATTATAGTGAACAATACTATATTAGATACCTCAAAATTGCTAGGAAACTAGATTTTCAATGTCCTCACCACAAAAAAAAAAAAGAAAGAAATGACAATTATGTCACATGATAGAAGCATTAGCTAATGGTATAGAGGTAATCATATTGCAAACTATACATGTATCAAATCAACACATTGTACACAATGTTATTTGTCAATTATATCCGAATTTACACTATATATATATATATATATATATACACACACACACACACACACACACACACACACACACACACACACAAAATACCACAGCTGCAAGTACACGGAAGAGAATGGACCTTCAAGGGTAAAGTTAAAAAAAAAAAAAGGAAAAAAACCAAAGAAATCCCACTAGAGAAGTTACAGAGTTGCAGGCAGACTATACCAAGCACTAGAAAGAGCCCTGGGGCCAATAGTCAGTAATTAAGAGATGGCCTTCGCAAGAGCAAGGTAAGTAGGGCACCTTATCTTTATGCACATATGAGCCAAGACAGCTGTGATACTTTCCTCCAGGCTAATGGCCCAAGAAATAGTCTCTGAACAAAGTGAAAAATCTTTGGTTGGTTTGTATTTGAGAGAGGCAGTATAGAACCTGGGGGGAGTGAAATGATACCATTGAGGCTGGCATTGGTCTCCAGGGTAGGGCATGAGGGTGTATTCTGAAGTGGGACTCTAACTAGAGAGGGCCCAGGTACTTGCTCCAGGTAAGGAGAAATCCCCTTCTTCCTTACATCCCATAGCAAGGCAGTCTCACTCATCCTGTCCTCCTCACAATTCTAGAAGGCTGGCTGCAGAGGTCAGAACCCACATTAATGGAAAAGTTAATAGGGTTTTGTATTTGAGCTGAGGAAATTCAGTCTTCAATCCTGTCCTTCAACAAAAGTTGTCCTTCAAGAAAACCAAGAAATATCAAACTTTGAAAGAAAACCAGCACCTTCAAAGAGAAACGTCAAATTCAACAAGCTGAAGAACAAAGGCCAAGGAAATGATATCAATAGAAAACAACTAATACAATGTTAAAATAAGTATGAAAATAAAAGGTCTATCTTCCTCAAATAGTCAATAATATTTAATAATAACAAGTCACTGTTTTTAAAATTCCCAGGAGTTAACCATACTGTTGGGAATAGATTTTAGCCGTGCTGCAAATAAAGACACATGGAGTCGAAATTAACTCGGCAAGGCAAACTTTACTTCTCAGAAGGGTGCGGAGCCACCGTAAGCCGATCTAGCAAGCACACTGAGTGGGAAGTTCACTCAGTTTGTATCCCTAACACAGTCAACACCTTTTTTTTTTTTTTGGCAGCTCGGCTGTTCAGCACAGGCTGGACTCGAACCGCTGTTGCTCAGAGCTCAAACTGTTGAGCGAGCTCTTAATCAACTGAGCCACTCAGCCGGCCCCCTTTATCCCTAACACAGGTGTCACTATGTCATACTCTATTGGCTAGAGCGTGACCTTACTTACAATCTAAACTGATTGGCTAATAGAAAAGCAAGATCTGCCTAGTTACATGATTAGGTAAGCTTGAAAATGAGGAACTATTAGACAACAGTGAGAAAGTATATTTTTACCTGGAATTGCTAAACAATAGTGAGAAAGAGGAAGTATATTTTTAAACTTTGCTGTCTTTGACAGAAAAGACTAGGGCCTTTTCTAACAATTTCCCACTTTTTGTTTTTATTAAACTGTCCTTTCTTCAAACTCAGCTAACATGACTTCACTTTTATCCTTAGGCACCTTCATGATGAATAAGTTGTTATGATTAGAGGCGGGTGTTTGTTTAATGAGTGCAGTCTCTATTAATCTCTGTATGAGTCCTCTGATACAGGAAATAATACAGCATCCCATGACAATCATAACCCCTACAACAATTATTAATGATGTTAAAGCTGAAACCATAATTCCCTTCCATTTACCAAACCATTGTTCCATTAAATTTGAAAATGGGTCATTGATCCCTGAATTTTCAGCTAGCTCCCCAGCCAGTGTAGTTAAACCCTGTAAAGCTTTAGTGATGGTACCATTAGGTGCAGTATTATTGGGAAGAAAAGTACAAAATTGTCCTCCTATCATAACGCATACTCCCCCTTTTTCTGCTAAAATCATGTCTAGAGCTAATCTGTTCTCCCGGCTCATTTTACTGGTTGCATCTAATTGTTCAGCTATCCTATGGATAGCATCGCTGGTGTAATTAACGAATCTTTGGGCCTGCTGAGTGGCTCAGTTGGTTAAGAGCTCGCTCAAGAGTTTGAGTTCTGAGCAACAGCGGTTCAATTCCTGGCCCAAGCTGAGCTGCCACTGAGCTGCCAACAGGTGACAGGATGGCTCAGCTAAAAAAAAAAAAAGTTGTGGTAATTAATGAATTTTTGTTGATTATAGTAAATATAATTTATTCAATCTACATTTTTATTAATGGTTAACCTCCAAAATAATACAGATTCAAATCCTGCAGCTATCTGATTTCTGGCCTCGAATTCATTAGTGACCCTTCTTGGGACTCCGATAGAGTCAATATAAATGTGGAGGTCAAATGAGCCACCTGAGGTAGAGGCTGTCCTCTTGACCCAGGATTGTCCAATCTGAGGACAAAATTCGCCGTGATGATATGTCAAGATAAAAGGGATAGCCAACTGGACCAAAGTACAGGTGCTGCCCCAATTGGCTGGGAGGGTCTCAAAAAGTGGCCCCCCACAATACCACCAGACATCAGCACGGGCTATTTTCAAGGCAGGTTGCTTATTTAACTCATCGAAGGACTGGCTCTCAGTACAACACGATACATTGCCCAAAGGGACTAAATTCTCCCCCCACCTAGAGAAGCATGAGGTGAAATTAGTCTCTGGGGATGGGGGTCATATAGTTTCCGGGGCTCTTTGCCTTGGGCCCTGTATCGTTGGGAATAGTAGTGATAGGGTCTGGCAGAACTGATTGCCCCAAGCCGTTCTGTCCTGAAAAAGAGCGTCATACAATCTAAGCCTACGGAGTCTGAGGTCCATCCTAAGGGAAAGGGTACCACTTGAGTCTCCAGCCTACCTGCTGCACAAGCGTAACAATCACTTTTATTTAGTGTGTGGATAGAACATTTTATCCATTTTAGCCAGGCATTCATTTCCCCGTATTCAGTTTCAATAGCTATGGTTTGATGTAAATCCTTAACTTTTACAATGGTAACCTTGGCGGGATCGTTAGGGGGTGCCAAAGGGGTGCTCGGAGTAGGGTCTGTGTTTGGAGTTCCAATGTCTGGGGTAGGGGTGGCTGGTATATTCTTTACTAACTTTACAGCAAATCTCCCAAGGGGGTCTCGCCCAGAGACATCCACACCTAGTCCATACATCCTATTACTGAAGGTATCTGGGTCATTGTTTGAGGGTTATCTATACTTAATAGTAGGGGGTTACACTGAAGGTACTGGCAGGTTGGGGAGGAGGCTCCTCTAATCAATCGGACCTTTCTTTTAAGAGGGGTGTACTCCTTCACTTGAAGCCACATGCTGGATGTTCCAAGCCTCTCCAAAGGTGGCCCACCATACATCATCCCAAGATGGACAACAGTTCTCTACCCATTGAGGCCCTTGTGATGGGCTAGGTTCTGGGCATATATATATATATATATATATATATATATATATATATATATATATATATATATATATATATTTTCTTTTTGTAGTTGACATTGGGAAGTTAGGTCCCCACAAGGAATGACTAAGCAGGCATCAAATCTGATAGTTATTGGCTTATCTCCTAGTGAAACATTGATTTTTAGCTTAACAGGGAATTGTCCCATTCCATTCCAGGTGCCTTCCCACTTAGAGGAAGCCTTGGTGCCCAGGGCCAGCCAGGAAGTCAAGAGAAATATCACTAGAAGCGTTTTAGGGTTAGTTTGGTAGGGTCGGGACCTGGGATTGCTGTCCATGTTGTAGCTGACGGTGGTACAGGGCCGCTTTTGACTCTAGTGTAGTGGGTCCAACCTCTTTCTGTGGTGTGGACTGCAGTTTCGGTTGTGAGTAGTACTTGGTGTGGTCCTTCCGAGGCCAGTTCCAGCTTATCTTCTTTCCAAGACTTGATTAGTACATGGTCTCCAGGTTTGTAGGGATGTACCGGGAATTCGAGAGGTGGATCCTGGGCTAATAAGCCGTGTTGCCTGAGGGAAGACAGAGTAGAGGACAGGCCAAGTATATAGTTCCTAAGAAATTGGTCCTTGGTTTCAAAGGTGGGTAGGTCTGTAGTCCAACTTAAGTATGATAACCCACAAAGTAATTCATATGGGGATAACTCAATATCTCTACGGGTCGCTGTTCGGACTCTGAGAAGTGCAATCAGGAGACATTTTGTCCATGGTAATCTGGTTTCTAATATTAACTTAGTCAAGTGTCTTTTTAGTGTCTGATTCATTCTTTCTACCTTACCAGATAAGGGAGGGTGCCACAGAGTATGATATTTCCATTTTCTTCCTAGAATTTTTACTAATTCTGTAATAATGTTTGCAGTAAAATGGCTTCTATTGTCTGAGTCTATGTTTTCAATGATTCCAAATAGAGGAATTTTAACCTCTAATAATATTTTGGTTACATTGTTAGCAGTGGCACTTGATAGTGGAATAACGTCAACCCAATTAGTCAGGTGATCTATTACTAAGAGATATTTAAGGCATCCTACCTTAGGCATCTCAGTGTAGTCTATTTGAATACTTTGGAAGAGCGTTAAGCTTGGACTTTGCCCTCCCTGAGGCTGTTTCGTGAGGGCCTGTTTATTTACCTTTCGACAAGTGGGACAGCTTTCTGTCACTTGTTTGGCTATAGTATACATTCCTATACATCCATAGTTCCTTAAAACTGTATCACACAGCACTTGTGGTCCCCAGTGGCTCCCTAGATGTAAATGGGCCATCAATTCCCTCATAATTGGCTTAGAGAGCATTTCTCTCCCATCTGGAAACAACCACTTTCCCTCAGAATTTTTGGAAGCTTCTATCTTGGTTAACTGATCCTCCTCCTGAGGAGTAAAGAATGGAGTAATAACTGGAGGGGGTAAGACAGGAGTGAGATGGAAAACTGGAGCTTCAGGCCTGAATGCTGCTTTCTGAGCAGCCTCATCAGCAAGTCTATTACCTTGTACTTCTATAGAGTACCCCCTCTGGTGTCCTGGTATGTGTACTATAGCTATTTCTTGGCAACTTTAGGTTTTCTAGGACCTCAGTGATTAATTCCTTGTGTATTAAATCTCGGTCCTTACTGTTAATAAGGGCTCTTTCAGTCCAAATTTTTCCAAATGTGTGTACCACCCCAAAGGCATATTTGGAATCTGTGTAGATAGTCCCCTCCTTTTCCTGTAGAAGTTTCAAGGCCTGATTTAGTGCAAACAATTCGCATGTCTGGTCTGAACAGCCATTAGGTAGCCTTCCTGATTCAACAACAGCGGGTTGCTCTTCATCTACAATAGAGTATCCGTTATGTCTTTTCCTTCTAGTACTCGGGAGGAGCCATCTACAGAGATTTTTAACCCAGTCAGGAGAGGAGTTTCCCGAAGGTCTGGCCTAACTTTTGTCCGATAGTCTATGAGGTCCATGCAACAATGTTCAATTGGGTCCGATGATTTACTTCCAGTTAGAAAGGTGGCTGGATTCAGACAATTGTCTGTGGTCAGGATTAGATCGTCTCTTCCTAACAGGATGGCTGCATATTTGAGAATCCTAGAATCCATCAACCATCTGCCTACTTTTTGATGAAGAATTGCCCTGACCTGGTGTGGGGTGCTAATAAGTAATTGTCCTCCAAAGTTTATTTTCCTGCTCTCTTTACCTAACATGGCAGTGGCCACTATGGATTGGATGCATTCTGGCCAGCCCCTTGTTACTGGATCGAGGAACTTGGATAGATATGCTACTGGCTGTCTTTTACCTCCATGTTCTTGGGTTAGGACTCCAAGAGTAGTACCTTTATCGATATTGGCAAAAAGGTGAAAGGGCTTTTCTAACAAAGGTAATGCTAATACAGGGGCAGTAATAAGGGCCTGTTTGAGGACTTCTATTAATTCTATTTCTGTAGGTTTCTAGAGGAGGGGGTCAGGCACCTCGTCTAACAGTTTGAGATATAGATCCTTGGTCTTGAGAGTATACGAGTCTATCCATAACCTGCAGTACCTGCAGTATCCAATTAGTCCTAAATGTTTTCGAAATTCCCTTTTTGTGTTTGGTAAGGGTCCATTAATTATCCCTGAGATCTGTTCAGGGCTCAGCCTTCTCCTCCCTTCTCTTATCAGGTGTCCTAAGTACTTGACTTCTTTTTCTACAAGTTGTAATTTGGTCTTGGAGACTCGTAGACACTGCTGACCAAGGAAATTTAGTAAGTCTATGATAACATCTACCAATTCTTCCCTTTGACTACTTGAGAGTAGCAAATCATCTTCGTATTGAATCAATTTGATCAGGGGGGTGTGGTGAGTGTGAACTTTTCTAGTACTTGTTCTAACACTTGTCCAAATAGGTTTGGTGACTCCGTAAATCTTTGGGAAAGGACAGTCCATCTGTATTGTTGTTTCCTACCAACAAGGGGGTCTTCCCATTCAAAGGCAAATAGGTATTGGCTTTCCTCAGCTAGGGGGCAGGCCCGAAAGGCATCTTTTAGGTCTATTAAAGTAAACCATTTATGTTCTGGCAGGATTTTACTGAGGAGAGTATAAGGGTTTGGGACCACGGGGTGTCTGCTTTGAACTATCTTACTGACTGCCCTTAAATCTTGAACTAGGTGGTAGGACCCATGAGGCTTCTTTACCAATAGTATTGGGGTGTTGAAGGGAGACATACAAGGATCAAGGAGGCCATCTTTAACTAGGCCCTCTATGATTGGTTTTAGTCCTAGTCTCCCTTCTAGAGGTTTGGGATATTGTTTCCTTTTAACTGTCTCCCCTTTGTCCTTAAGTTCAACCCAAATAGGGGAGATTTTTAACCCACCCCGATTTCCCTCCCTTGACCAGACTTCAGGGAGTATCCGTTTTTTCATCCTTTGTGGATAGAAAGTTTAGGGAAACTTGAACTTTCTCTTTTGTGATGTTAAGTCCTATTCCTAACTTAGACATTAAATCTCGACCCAAGAGGTTAGTTCCAGCTTCAGGGACAAAGAACTTTATCTGTGTCTGTCTGCCCTGATATATGACCTGAGTTTCTTCAAAGATGGAAACTATAAATTCTTCCCCTTTAACCCCTGAGACTAGTACTGTATTTGCCGGCGTATAAGACGACTCGGTGTATAAGACGACCCCCTAACATTTCCACTCAAAATACAGAGTTTGTTATATGGTCGGCTGTGTGTGATTTTGCGAGTGTGGTAAAATCGCATAACAGCCGAGCATACACCCAGCAGCGCTGCTGATGCCTGAACGGTATGTGGAATGAAGTGGGCGGGCATCGGGAGGCCACTATGGCACGGGGCAAGCACTATGGGCAGTCTATCTGAAGTGTACCTGGCGTATAAGACGACCCCCCACTTGGAGGCATATTTTTCAGGGCCAAAAAATCGTCTTATACGCCGGCAAATACGGTAGATGGGTTTTAGATAGGTTCAAGCCAGGGGGTTGAAGAGAGAGAGACGAATGAGCTGCCCCTGAGTCAACTAGAAATATTAGTTACTCTTTCTTGGGTCCTGCTTCTAAATTTATCAAGGGCTCTTGATAGGATCCTGGGATGTAAAAAAGCCCCTGACTTCCCTCTTCTTCCTCGAAGGTCATGAGAGGTATTACTTTCTCTTCCCATTTTAGTTCTGGGCATTCTCTCTTAAAGTGACCTTCTCTTTCACAATTGTAGCACTTATTTCTTCCCTTGGTGTTGCTTTGGGGTCATGTTTTTCTTAGCTGCCTTGAGGGTCTTTGGCCTCTGGGTCCGGCCTTTCCTTTCGTGGCTTGTTCTATAGTAGAGAGCATTATCTTGGCCTTCTGTTTTTGTTTTTCCTCATCTCTTCTTACATATACCTTTTGAATCTCCCTTGATAGCTCCTCTAAACTTCTATCTTGCCAGTTCTCTAGTTTTTGCAGCTTCCTTGCAATGTCAGGCCAACTGTTTGTTACAAAATGGAGCTTCAGCGTCCCTTGTCCTAGTGGATCCTCTAGGTTTAATCCAGAATGTTTTCTCATCTGATCTTTAAACTTATTGAGAAACTCAACTGGTCCTTCCTCTTTTCCCTGTTGTGTGTCAAAAGTTTTAGTAACGTTCTGGGAGCAGGGCAGTGACTCCCTTATTCCCTTTATAATCAGGTCCCTTATGTCCCTCCTATGGCCCCTATGTGCTTTGTTGTTGTTATCCCACTGAGGCTCCTGATCAGAAATTTTGGCTTTTGGGGGTGGAACCCCTTGACCAGCTGGGCGTTCTCGTTCCCAGGCTGCCATGGCTGCTCTCCCGATCACTGCCCTCTCTTCTCCAGAGAATAAAATGCTGAGAATAGACATGAGCTCCGCCCAGATGTAGACTTGGGGCCCCCGGAATTGGTCTAATTGGTCTGCCACTCCATATGGCTCTTCTAAAAGAGGTTTTAGTTCCTT